CTTTTATAAATACATCTAATAAAAAGGACCAAAAGGCTGAAAATTATAAATGTTTGGGTAGATTTTTTGGTTTTGAAACCTAAATAATCATAATAACAAAAGAAATATTCTATGTTAATTATGTATTTCGTTGATTTTTAAAAAAAATATTATTTTGAACTGTATAATATAAGCTAATATTTTTTTTTTGAATTTTTCTAACTTATTATTCCTCTAAGATATAAGTTAATGATATTTTTTATCATAAGGAAATATATATATAAATATAAAAGTTGACATTAATTTTGCTATCAATAATTAGTGGAAGAATTTAATTAGACAATTAACAAATTAAAAATCAATTTTTATTTTTCTAAACACAAATTTATGAAAAAATATATATTTATTATACTTTTAAATTAGAAAAACCCCCTTTTTCATTGTGTAACATAATGAAAAACAATTATTTTTCATTTTCTTACTCACCTCACTTATACATGTCTAAAACTCGAATATAAAATCTTTTACTCTACTAAGAACAGAGATTTAGGACTAAATTACTTAAGTTATTAGCATTATAACTCCAATTTAGAATTTCTATTTTTCTTTTTCTTTTTTTTTTTTTAATCGGCTCCAATTTAGAATACCTTAATTATACTTTGATTTGTGTTTATGGACGGATATAAATTAGGGGAGTCTGGTCTGCTACGCTGCATCTAGGTATATTTATGTACCATACTATACAAATATGTGTCCTGTATAAAATTTTTTTAATATGTGTTCTTATTCTTAAAACATATATATAATAAGGATGTAATTAATATGTTTTTTTTTATTAAATTATATATATAAATAAATAAATTTTAATTTTAATTTTATTAATTGACTATCAAAAACATATATACTTTCATATTAGATGAAAAGACTCGTTCATGTTATAAGAATCTCTTATTATTTAGAAATTAATATTTTACAATTTAGTGCAACTCAAATCGTAAAATATTTTTTATTATACATATTATATAAAAATAATTATAGTAATTAAATTTGATAAAAATATTTGTGCTTGATTAAGTTGGTTTCCAGCAAGTCGTCCTAGGTCGATGCCTACGGAGGCAGTTAGCATATTCCAAGCATTAAACTTTGTCCTCTTCAAGAGATTCCTTATTTTTCTGCTTCTATATTATTTCTGATTTTTTTTCCCTTTACTATTCAATAATTGGGCATACATGCCATCATCTTGTTAAAGCTTTTAACACCTTTCGTTGCTGTTGAGAATCCTTCCAGATAGATAAAAAGCATGTTTCAGAAGTAAATGAACTTGTAGCACAGTTAGGCTACCAACCTGTGAAGAAAACGTCATTGTAATTAGCTTTCCATCCATGGAGAATGGGGTCGTCTTCCTACAAGTAACGCAAGCGACTGAGGTCACTGCTTAACTTCGAGGGCATGAACTTGTAGCATGGTTACAAGGTAAAAGCCTTATTAAAACCCTTTTAAGTTTAAATTCAAGCTCACTCCCTACATTGATTATTGATTAACATATAATTTATAATTTTATTTGAATAAATTACAATTTTGGTGTGACAGGATTCAAAACTTAATCCTTAAACTTACAACATAACTTATAACTATCGAGTTAAGAAGGTCAAGTGTATATAATTTATAATTTGATTCAATGATTGATATGTATTTTAAATTTGTAAATATGTAGTTGTATATTTTACATAGTAAATTGTAACTTTGTATATATTGGAAAAATCATGTTGAGGAATCCAGAACAAGTTTTATAAGAGCTACCTCCATATTCCATTGATGCCAACTGTATACACCCAGTACTAATTCTTGCATTAACTATACACATGACTTCAAAATATAATGACACATTTCAGTAGAGCACTCAGCATCAAAAAGAAAATCAGATTTCAACTAGCAGCAACCTTGTCCTCTGTGATTTTCTTGCTACTACCTCTGGTTCTTCGATGCAAATCGAAGAATTAGATAAAAACAAATTCTGTAGAAAGCAGACTAACCCAACATTATGAGAACATTTTTCCACTCCTTGAACTCATCGGTACTGATACGCAGTGAATTCAAGATTTGAGCTCCGGTCACGTTTCCCTTGGGTTTGTCAAAGACAGTATGGGCCTGGTACTCGTTCATCAAAAGCCCTTCGTAAGGGTATGTCATGATAGAAAATTTATTCATCCATTTCCAGTAGATTGGAATGTCATGGCTGTTCAAGAAGTAGCCACAGAACAGGAAGAACATGTCGGTGAAGGCAATGACTGCTGCGTAACTAAAAATGAAGTTCGGAACCACCAAGCTCACAAACACAACGAGAGAATTTGTTGAAAGGAGGGAAATGTAGAGCACAAGCAATAAAAAATAGAAGGGTCCGTAGAGTTCTACGGCTTTCCAAACAATACAAGCATAGGCGGAAACTTGGAGAAGAAGAAAGGGAAGGCACGTGATTAACCCAGCGATGGTGTAGGCAGAGGCTCTGTAAGCATTATGGGAAATTTCGCAGACGAAAATGAAGCGCTCTTGAATGAAAGCCGGACAGCATCATTGGATGAGAAGAAGGAGAGGCAAACAGTGAAGATGAAGAAGCTGAGACGATTGGTGACACCTTGGGCATCCTGTTTAGGGTGCATGAACATGGTGGCTAATCTCTACCTCAGATACAAATTAAAGCTACAAATGGAGACACCTTTTTGGGACGAGAGGACTTTGATAATGCGCTGTTAAGACTTCTTAGTGGATGAGTTCAAGCGGACAGACCACATTGATCTCTCAAAGGACAAGCTTGCCCTGCAGAAGCTTCGGAAGGCAGCAGAAAAGGCTAAGATTGAACCATCATCCACAACCCAGACTGAAGTCAACCTACCATTCATAACTGCTGATGCATCTGGAGCTAAACATTTCAATATAACTCTAACCAGATCCAAGTTTGAGGGTCTGGTGAGCAGATTGATTTAGAGGACAAGAGACCGGTGTAAGAACTGTTTGAAGGATGCTGGGATATCCCCTACTGAAGTGGATGAAATTTGCTTGTTGGAGGAATGACACGTGTTCCAAAGGTGCAAGAAGTAGTAGCAGAAATTTTTGGAAAAGCTCCGAGCAAGGGGGTTGATCCTGACGAGGCTGTTGCAATGGGAGCAGCAATTCAAGGTGGCATCCTTCGAGGTGATGTTAAGGAGCTGCTTCTGTTGGATGTGACCCCTCTGTCACTTGGTATTGAAACTCTGGGTGGAATTTTCACAAGGTTGATCAACAGGAACACGACCATTCCTACCAAGAAATCACAGGTCAGTTTTTTAATATGTAATGCATTGATGTTTAGATGATTTGGATAAAATGAAATAGTGCACTTTCACTGATTTTTTTCTAGATAGGTGTTAATATGTTGTAATATGTAGTTAGTGTGGAAACAGCTCAGCTTCTCTTTCATGGCATAAACAACAATGTTGTCTTCCTTCCCCTTGCATGGCATGCTAATGTACTTAGCTGAGACTGATGACAGTGAGGAACTGTTTCTGTTTTTTCTTTTTAAAGTAATATTTCCAGTTTATAGATGCCAGGTGCTAGTATCATGCCATTTCTGAGCCCACATGTTTCTGTCAAGGAGTGGTGTTAGTGCTCTCAGCCGTTCTTGTTTCCTTGTTGATATATTTTTTAGACAATGATTAATGGTAAGTTTTTTGCTTCCAGGTTTTCTCTACTGCTGCTGACAACCAGACTCAGGTGGGAATTAAAGTACTTCAGGGTGAGCGTCAAATAGCGGCAGACAACAAGCTTTTGGGTGAGTTTGATCTTGTTGGTATTCCCCCTGCGCCTAGAGGCCTGCCACAAATTGAGGTGACATTTGATATAGATGCCAATGGGATTGTAACTGTTTCTGCTAAGGATAAGGCAACAAATAAGGAGCAGCAGATTACAATCCGATCTTCTGGAGGGCTTTCAGATGATGAGATCAATAAGATGGTCAGGGAGGCTGAAATGCAAGCCCAGAAAGATGAAGAGAGAAAAGCCTTGATTGACTTTGAGAAACAGTGCTGACACAACCATATACAGCATTGAGAAGAGCTTGGGTGAGTACAAGAGCAAGATTCCAGATGAAGTTACAAGAGAGATAGAGTCTGCAGTGGAAGATTTGAGGAAAGCAATGGCGGGTGATAATGCTGAGGAAATCAAGGCAAAACTTGATGCGGCAAATAAGGCTGTTTCAAAAATTGGAGAGAATATGTCTAGAGGGTCTGGTAGTCCTTCATCGGAAGGGTCTCAGGGTGGCGATGAGGTCCCAGAAACAGAATATCAGGAGGCGAAGAAATAGAGGTCAATTCAGTATAAATTGTTCATTAAAAGTTGATAGAAGTTAAAAAAAAAAAAAATTTCTCCGGATTCGTCCCTACTTTGGGATAAGAGATCGAGTTTATTTGAGAACTCTGCAAACAATTCTAATTTACTTCATTCATATTATTTGATGCAAATTGCTTAAGTTCCTCCAATTTCTTGGGAACTTTTCATGTTCTATGCAGGAGCAGGCTACGTGCTTTATTTATTATTCATTGCTTTATTTGGTTGATTTTTAATAGATTTAATTTAATTTTTTAATTTTTTAGATAAAAATTT